CCACAGCTAGGTGATTCCCATATAATTTGGTGATTATCAGACAAGTATTTAAGGGCTTCACCCACCTTACAAAATCTCACAATTGATGGATTTTTTTTTCTGTATTTATCTCAATAGATAAATTTTGATAAACTTTGTTGTGTATAATTGTATTAAGATGCAGGTGATTTAAATTGTTATTGGTGCTAAAACAAATGCAGTAAATGTTAGTTGTTTGAACTGCCATTTGGGTCCATCCCATAATTTGCCTTGCTAGGCTCCATTGATATCTATGTCTTAAAAACATCTGCCACATCCATATAACAAATATATAAATTTCATGGATCACTTTTCAAAACCACTTCTATTTTCCTGAAGGAATAATTACAGTAAACTCTTTAAAACTACAAAACATATTTATTAAAAAAAAGTATGATGAATTCAAATTTTGGCACTATATAAATTAGTATTGCATTGTAATATCGGTAAGTCTATAATCTACGTGAGCCCTTGCCAGGTCAGGTTCTTTAGAAAAATACATTAAATTAAACATAAAACTAAGAGGCAGAAATTTAGTCCATCTACAATTACATGTTGTAAGGGGTACAAGGGTTGAATTAAGATAAACCTAGATATCAAGCTCAAGTAAATGCTCTTGTTAATTTTATCTATTTCAGCTAAAATTGTTTGTTATCAACTGTACAAATATATGATATAATTTTAAAAATTTAGTAAAGCTCGAGTTTGACTAGGTTAGAATACATGACATCAACGGCAGAGTTAGTAGTTAGTTGTGTAAAAAGTGATTTTATATGCAATAGAATCACACCCAAAATTCCATGTTACTTATTTCCAGGTTCTTGTGAAATGAGCTCTACCAACTGTAGAATTACAGAATAAGCCGCAGTATTTCTATTTAGAGTCAGTGATAGTAAAGTTGATTAAGTTTTTTAAGCCTCCTCATTATCTGGAGATCCCTGAAACAAACAAATTAAACAAAACTATAGTAAAAGGACACGAAGGGGTGCTTCTTAATTTAATAAGAAGTGGCTTCAGGTAAAACAATTGTCAACTATGAAATTATTGTTTTATTTATAGTATATCAAACAACTTCATTTTGTTTATAACCATTGAAATTATTCAAAATTAAAACAAGTAATTCCTGTTTGTTTTAAATCCTATCTAGATATCCATTCAAATATCTATGTTTGACTATATTTAAAGGGACAGATGCGCCATTTTGGGGGAATATATGTAAATAGCGTTCGGAAGTACAAGAAATGTATGAAAATCGCATAATTCTTTTAAAAATACTTCTAATTAGGAATTTTACTCACTATTTCCATATACCGGTGTGCCTTTTCTATATCACAGAGTATCTTAACATGATGAGTCGTCATTTTGACATTTAAATGCCGATAATTCTGAACAGACATGGAATTTCTGAGACAAAGGTTTGATTGGTCAAAAAGATAGCGCAACTGTCCATTTAAACAGTAGAGTAAAAAAAATAAAAACTCAAATAGGCAAATAAGGAAGTATGTTTAATATTGTTTGAAATCATCAAAAATATTTGCTCCTATTACAGCTAACAATATTAAGATATACTTTCTGATTTTTTGCTCTACCAGCTCATATGTCAGTTATTAACATCACTCTTCAGAATAAAAGCTAAAATCTAATTTGTATGTAATTAAATAAAATAGGAACTACAATATAAAAAAAAACACAGAAATTCATAATTGTGCTATGGTAAAAAGAAAAAGTGAGATAAAAATGTGCATAGCATTAGGTCATGGGAGGTGTAGAAAAAATTTTTTTAGAAAATATTGTTAGTAAACATGCAAGAAACCTGCTCCATTTATTCAAGCAAAACATAAAATAAATGGCTACAACCACCAGAAACTAAGCCTGCCAAAAAAGAAAACCCATATTCTACAAGGAGACCAACTTTTCAAACATGCTGTCTCCTTTAAGGTTTTAAGCAATGGTTTTGCTGCATTTTAATACTTTCCTGGCTGAATGAGCAAAAATGACCAAATGTAGGTCACCAGACAATAATTAGAAATCAACCTTTTACTGAAGGTTTAAATACAGGGTTAAAGAAGGTTTTCGCAAAAGAAAAAACACTTCTCAAAATTTTAGTCCAACTGGATTCCTGTGAAAACAATTAAACAGGCATCGTATCATCGCTCAAATGAGATTGATGCTATTTATATTAAATCGACCAATTTGCCGCCACCTGAAGAGATAGGAACAGATACTTTCCAACTAATAAATATTCCAAATTATGGTTTTGATTTTCTATCGGCTTCAACTTTTACCAAAAGCCTTCTCAATTCAGTCACATCCATTAATCAAAACATTTAATAACAAGCTGCTTTCATTTGGTTTACAAAAAAGCGTCTATTTTGGTTCCAATTTTGATTGGACAATATTGAGCTATGAATATGTCAATTCCTTCATTTGCATAACCAAGGACTCAAGGAAGTATGACAAATGGGGGTGTGGTTTAGACACAATGTTAACAGGATAACTTAAAAGATTTTTTTTATGAATTTATTTCTTTGATAAAATAACAAACAATAAGTATCATAAAAATAAAAAGTAAATTTTGAGATTTCGACCAAAGACTAATTGAGCATTGTAACAAAAGCAATATTACTTCAATAAAAGGTTTTTCCTTTCCAAATTCTGCACAATAAGAACATAAATTTTGCACCACTTCGTAACCTTGGAGACCATACATTCAATGGTCAAAATATTTTCTTTATCTTTCAAAGAATCCAATCAAATTTGACTTTCTCACAAACAATAATATGTATAAGGCATTCAATCGTTGAAACAGGTGCCTGTGGCTCTGGTCCAAGTCAATGACTAGAAAAGCCAGCTGTTGGATATCACAATGACTAGTATCAGTTACTCATATCAATATCAATAAGGCTTTAAGCTGAAGTAGAGGTAATAAATTGAGCTATTGACTAATGAAGAAGCTACATGAAAACAGGTAACCCTTAAAATGCTCTGAATAGATTATATAATAAATATTCAATATTTCCATTTCCTACATAAAAACACAATTTATCAAAGTTTCAAATGGAAATATCATTTTCAATATCAGTTTCTTTTACGCGTCTTCCAAGCTTGATGTAATTCACATAAACAATTAAATCTTTCTAAATTGTCCTAAGACAGCTGGACACAAGTACAGTATTCACCCACGAATCTAATGAAGGCCCTATGTTGTACTGTGCAAAAGTTCGAAGTTCACGGCTGCTGTAACAATAGTTTTTTCCAGTAGCCTACATTCAAATTCCAGTTTCTTTTACTTACCTGCACAGATTGATAATAAGGGTACAAATAAAAATTCCCCAGAACAGCCAATAGACATTACAGTGAGCTTCTATTAATGTCTTGACATATGTGTTTGAACATTCTTAGATTCCCAGGAATTGAACAAGTTGAGCATCTCTAAATCTCTTTCGGATCGTTGCTGAAGACATCTTTCCTTTTTCAAAAATGGTGATCGACTGTCAACTTTAACCATAACAACTTATTTGCAACATAAGTCAACTTTTAGTCATTTGTGATTACGTCGTTTATTATGACGCAAAACGCAGCATTAAACTTTGACAATTTGACGTTGCCTCTGTCGATCGTGACTATCGTATCGATTGAGTGCCCCTTTATGACATTCCGCTAAGTTGATATTGATCATATAGATCGATTGATTATATGAATTGACACAGTTGATTTTCTGTCGAGCAAATAGATGCATGAATCCTGTGCCTTAATGGACAGCTTGGCTATTATTTCACAGATTGTACATTTTTTAAGTTGAAAATTGTGTTCCTTGTCCCAAATGGTTGTTATCTCTTTATTCTACGTATCCAAAGTAATTGATGTATTGTTTTATTAAAAACACAGACAACCAAATGAATATAATGACAAGAACCATCCAAGTCAAGTACCAACCAATTTCCATTTCCTACATAAAAACACAAATGGAAATAATAGAATCACAACATTTATAAGAGCAACAAATTTAAACCATTGTGAACCAACCTTTATCATATACATACTCACTTTCCAGATATATTAATTCAAACACCACAAGATCACATTGCTTGATTGATAAATACAGTAATACATATTATATTATATTGTATATAAAGAAGTGCAAGAAAGATATCTATGCTCATCTTGGACTGATTCAAATCATTAACAAAGCAAGAGCATTTTTTATGTCAGGGTAGAATATATGAGTAGATCAAAGAGATTTCAGGTCTGATTCAAAAACATGAGCAATCTACTTTATATTTGGGTAGAATCAATAATAATTGAAACTATACAAGCTTAACTTATCATATTCATTACTACATATATAAAGACGACTGACTGTGGTTAACTTTTTAAACAAACCTGAATATGCACAAATCATTTAAATCATTTCCAGATGGGCATAAATCTCTTTATGGAGCTACATATACAGGAGGAATTGGCGAGTGGGATGCTGGGAGGGGGAATATACAGAGTAGGACATTGTGATTATTATGAAAACGTTTTATATTTTCCAGAATTCTAGGTTGTTTTCAATTTCCTGAGGTCATACATGTGTAATCTCAGGCTGAGGTGAATATTATTACATCTGTCAGAGATTAGTATCAAATATGCATCAGCATTCTGTTTTGGCAGGTAAATTTATTCAAACCATGCAGCATTCAAGTCCAGGGCCTGTTGTCAGAAGGCTCGTTAATGATAAACTTTGTGTCTAAATGAATTCTAGAAATCTGAATTAAGACATACAGTGTCTAGTGTGATGTACCATCTTGGGTTATCAATACAGTAGAAACTAGATAGAGGACCCAAACCTCTTACTCACTTTACTATTTTCTACAGTAGGCTTATTGATAATCCTGTACCATACACCACACAAGACACTGTTAACTTTTCTATTCTGATCTTCATTATAAAACCAAACAGAATCATCTCCTCATCTACTGGGTGATAGGTGTCTGAATTTATAAAAATTTCTGGTTCCATTTCTTGAGAGACAACCCAATTTCAATTTCCCTGAAAATTACAAAATTAATACTTACCAGTGCAGGTAAAGGGACATTATCGTCAACTTTTACAAGTATCCAAGTGTAAAGTTGCCGTTTTGATATCTTTAATACTTCATAATCTAAACTGTTTAAACCATCAGTTTTAAACCTCCTATCACTCTGTTTTAATAACCTGCTTCTAAAAAAATAGTGAAATATCTAAATTAGTGAATAAGTTGATTGTGAAACAGTAATTAATTTTCTGCAACCAATCTTAGAGTTGAATGATGGCCAAGTATTACTGGTACTTTGTCCTGATTATCACATGATTAAGTAAAGTTGGTTGGTTCAAACAGCATAGGATTGTCGTTCCAGACTACTTGCATTTGTAATTATAGCCAAATAAAAACTATAAGGTAATAAGAGGTTAGTTCATTATGAATATAAAATGTAAGTGCTCTCATGAATCATTTATCAATGAATGAACCTTTTTTGATCAATAGATGTTCATATTGAATAATATATAGAATATCTTTCTGTTCAGATGAAGCAACAAGCATCAAATAAATTCCAATGACATAGCATTGAAAGTTAGAGTGTTTATCAAAATCTGACCCAGGTGTTTGTCTAAATTGACTTTAAACTGTTTAACTTGGACCTACCTGACTGGATTAGGTGAATCTTTGGCATGTGACAACATTTTATATCTGGCTACAGCTGATGAAAAGCGTATTATATTCATTTTATTGTGAACAATTCTACAAGACAATAATAAAGACTGGTGATCAAAACAGGCCTTTAAATAAATTTATTTACTATTTAAAATGTTAAGAAGTTTCCTAAATGTTTCATGTGTAATGGGGACACTGATAACATCAATTTAAATCATTCCAATTTTCGGTAAGTATATTCTACTAAAACTCAACCTTTTCAGATGTCAAAATTTCAAAGACCTTTGGATATTTTAAGCAGCCTTTCATTTGAGTAGAATGGCAAGAACAACAGATGTTTAACTTAAAATTGGAATAAATGAATGTTATATTTATTTTTGACATAGGAACAAGTGAATAAATCAATGAATAAATGAATGATGAATGAATGAATTACCTGTTGTACATATCATCATCTTCACCTCCCCATCCAAAATATAAATTACTGAAACCATTAACTAGTTCAAACTGATCTTTTGTCATGGCACTTGCTCCTCCAAATATTTGATTATAAGGTAATCTATCAAATAACAGAACATCTTGTTAACCCTTTCAACCCTAGCAGCAGGTTTACCGGCCATACACTAACGCAATATATACCCGAGCAGCCGGTATACTAGCTGTTACTAAGTGACGTCACACAACATCAACGTCATAAGCTTTTACTTTTATTAGGGTAAAGTAAAGGGTATATGATGTTTTATTTCATTTACACTCAGGGTTCAAAGGGTTCAGTATATATAATAATATATATTTGACTTGATTTGATTTCTAAATCAATAATTACCTGGCCAGGTGCCTCAAGCCTCAACTTGTAACATATAGTTTTATTGGGATACATATTTATAACAATATAATTGAAGGGAAATTTTTCAATAAGATAAAAGATACAGAGATGTTGATAATATGCATCTACATTTAGATAACAACTTATATGAAACATCTTACTATTTATATTGAATATCAAATGATGATATTATATCCATCTTAAATATTCATATTCATATGAATTATCCTTCTGAGTTCTAAAATATTGTTGTAATATAGTCTGTTCAACTTTGAGAAGGGATATGTTTTAGTCCTGTATGTTGTATAACTATAACTAATTGGTTTTAAAGTTAAATTTATCAAAACCTTTTCCATCAGAGATATAACATGCAGTTTTTGAGACAGTGAGATTAAAACAATTCAACTTACTTATAATGCATTTTATCAATAGCTACTGACATGTGTCGTGGATGGTCTTCAGAACATGAATAAATATTGAGATCGTTCTCTGGTACCAGATCAACGTCATGGAAGATGAAACACGTGTGATTATAAAGTTTGGAAGACTCTACATATCCAATATTGAACAACATGGCACGGTTAAATTTCACTCCTGATACCTACAAATAGAAAATAAATTAATTTGATTTGCCTATCTTCATGTTTCAGTCAGTGATTTACTTTGGGTGACTCTACACTTCAGAAAAACATGAAAAGAAAAAATCATGATTTTCTATCAAATCAAAATGTGCACAAAACACATGAAATTTTGATATCTACTTTTTAATCAAATTATACTTCAACAAAACAAGGATTAATTATAAGAATAAAAAATTCTGCCCTCTAAAACATATATTCATTAAATTACTAGGATTCAAGCAAATAAAGTAAAACCTGAATAATTTCCAAGAAATGCAAGCAAGTTACTACAAGAAGATGGTTATATCTGAACTGGCCAGGAACATTTTAATCAAGTCGTGTATTTGTTAATTTCAGTTGCCGCTAGCTGCAGTTCTTCACTCTCACAGCAAATATTTTATCATATTACAAAGTATTATTGTAAAAGTATTGTTATTGTGAAGTCAGTAAACAGGAGTTAAATATGATAGAAAACTATTTAAACTTACCATTTCTATAATATAAATACTATAATCTATCTGTTGTTTTTGTAAGAATGGATGGATATTTTGAAGAAATATTTTTAAATGTGCTTGTCTGTCACGATAAGGTACGAGTATTGCAACATGGTGACGAGCTTTACACTTGGTAGGAGAGTAATGTCCTCCAAGTTGAAGATCTGGATTTTGATCTTCTATTTGTTTATAACTTAAAATATCAGTATTCACATTAATGGGGCCAACTGAAAAATACAGATTATAATATTAGAGTATACACATAAACTAAACATTTGATCAGCATGGTAACATTTAATATATACCTTGTTAATTCAGTTACCTCAGTTATGATGGATTTTCAGATGGAACTTGATGCTTTTGTTCCATTTCTATTTGTACAATAAAGTAAGAACACTGCAAAATCCTAATTCTTGTTCTTAAATAAGGGTTAGTGCTGGGAATTGCCAATTATTATTGCCATAATACCACACATATTGCGATCAGATACAATATATATCATGGGATAATAGACAAAAAGGAACATATAATATTAATCTTTTCCACGATATTTTAAAGATGGGTTCCCTAATTTTTATTTATGAAAATGAAAATGCTAATACTTATATGAATAGAAAATAGAGGTGTTCTAATGACTTGGAAAAATACTAGTCTCACATGTCCATAATTAATTCATAATTAGCTAAATTAGAAGAGAATTACCAGCAGAATTCCAAAGAGTCAAGAAAGGTCAAAAAGTCCTTTTTTTGCTTATCCAGACTGTACATACATGGGCACTTATGATTAGTTAAAACTCTTCACTATAAGCATTAAGATAATAATGATATGATAAAGAACACATGATAATTTATTAGAAACACCAATTAATCAAATAGTTTGCTTAATTTGACATTAAAAATGTAAGGAAACCCATCTTTAAGTAATTGTAATTAATAGTAATTTTTTGAGCTGCCATATGAATCACCAAATTATTGTTCAAACACTAACAATGGCACATTGAAATACAGATATACAAACATAAAGATGAAAAAGTTTTTAAATCTTAAGATACCACAGACTTATTTCACCAGAATTTAATACATAGTAAGCTTGAAGTTGTACATTTGAATATGTTAATTGTTCAGTAAAATTTAGATTTTGTTCTTACCTAAATTTGGTGGGAGTACTGGACAAAATAAATCTTTTTTTTCAAAATACAAGAAACTCGTTTTATTTCTATTTCTGGCCATGAGATCTCGGAACTGTCTCAATGAGAGATGTTTCACGTTTCCTGAAACCAAGTATTTTGTAATTTCACTCCGTATTTGAGTTGCCTCATACAATAAGATATACAAAACAAATGTAACAATGAAGACAGCAGTCAATTGTAACAATCTAGTCCTTTTAATTCCAACACTCATTATACTTAACCACCATTTTGATTTTTCAGACATAGTATCTGATCCTTTATGGCACTGTTCTTTTAACATTTTGGTAACCTACAATTAGAAAATAACAATTTTTAAAGAAAAGTTCACACCATAAAACATTTTATTTACTAATAATTCTGGCTTCTCTGCAATTAAAAGACAGGAAAAGTAACGTATGCCACTTGACAGCAGTCAAAATGATCAAAAAGTTACAAAAAAAAATTTTTTAAATCAATATTTATTTCTTATGTTCAGTCTAATATTCAACAATGATCAAGGGATCTGGAAACAAGCATACTGCTTATATAAATCTATTTCCCAAACAAATATACAACTAGAACCGTTATAACGGTACCGAAGCAGTGCGCATCCTGATACATCGATAATTGCATTTTAAAGTCACAATGGGATTTCTTACCTGAAAGAAAAGCATGCAAACGTTCAATAGTAGAAAAAATCGTTTAAACCGTTTACCGTTCGGTAGTGAAAAGACGCATGAATTTGATACCATTCGGTACTAAAAGGTGTTAACATTCGGTAGTAAAAAGTCGAATTTTCAAATAGCTGTAAAGTTAAAAGTTCAATTCGCACAACAAAAATGAAAATATTTTTGGAAAGGTACAATAATTTGCGTTTCGGCCAAGAGGTCAACAGAGGTCAAATAAAAGAGAATATAAGCCTTAAAAGTGTTGAAAATTGCTGTTTTGGGACGTTTGTAAAAGAGAAAATATATGTCGGAAATCAAAGATAAAAGTCAATCAAAATACCAAGTGTTATATATCATTTGAAAGAATAGATTGCGTGTAATAAGGACAAAAGATAAATTTTCGCTTATGTAAATTAGGTCACGTGATAGACCTTTTTTAAAATCAAAAATCGTGATTTTCAATTGGCTGTAGAACCAGAAGTTAACGGAGCACGACAAAAGTGAAAATATTATCGGATATATCTCGTAATGGGCAACAACCTTTGTTCAGGTCAAAAGGTCAACAAAGGTTAAATAAAAGTAATATGAGCATTTGAAGTTTCGAAAATTGCTGTTTTCGGAAGTCTGTAAAACTGGAAGTATATGTTGCACATCAAAAATCAAAGTAAGAATGGTCATCTTAGATCAATGACCTTTGACCATGCAAAGGTCAAGGTCATTTACGTTAAAGTTCAAAAATGAAAATTTTTAAAATTGTTAAACCTGTTCCCTTTTTTAAAGTAAAGATCACAAACAACTGTAATCTTATCACAAATTGTCCTAAGCAGTGATCTACTTTCATGCAAAATTTCTAGGATGACAATTGCAAACTATGAGAGTTATAACAATTGCAAATATTTCAGGTAAAGGTAAATGCCCACCGGATGTGCCACGCCCACTTCAAAAATTTTAATCTGTCTGTGATGATTTGTACATTGTTAAATAATGTTCAAAATTTCAAGTCTTTACAATCATTAGATCATGAGATATTCGTAGTTAAACTTTTTTTTAGGGCAACGGTGACTGTCGGTAAATTATAGACACCGTGATTTAACGCACAGTTACTATAGAAGTCGGTACAAAATTTTCAATTTTTAAAACGCGCAATTTTGTTCAAAATATCAAGTGTGATATATCACCAAAAAGGAGAGATCATGCACTCTAAGAATATATAAGAAATTTTGTTATATGTTAATTAGGTCAAGTGACAGAGCTCTTCAAAGTTAAAAATCGCGATTGCTGTCTGTAGAACCGGAAGTTAACAATGCACAACAAAAGTGAAGATATTATCCGATATATCTCGTAAGGGGCAACAACTTTTGTTCAGGTCAAAAGGTCAACAAATGTCAAATAAAAGTAATATGAGCCTTTGAAGTTTCGAAAATTGCTGTTTTCGGACGTCTGCAAAACCGGAAGTATATATCGGACATCAAAGATCAAAGTAAGAATGGCCATCCTTAGTCAATGACCTTTGACCATGCAAAGGTCAAGGTCATTCATGTTAAAGATCAAAAATGAAAATTTATAAAATTGTTAAACCTATTCTCTTTTTTAAAATAAAGAATGTAAACAACTGTAACTGTATCACAAATTGTTCTAAGCAGTGATCTATTTTCATGCAAAATTTCTAGGGTGACAATTGAAAACTATGAGAGTTATAACAATTGCAAATATTTCAGGTAAAGGCAAATGCACACCGGATGTGCCACGCCCACTTCAAAAATTTTAATTTGTCTGTGATGATGTGTACATTGTTAAATAATGTTCAAAATTTCAAGTCTTTACAATCATTAGATCATGAGATATTCGTAGTTAAACTTTTTTTTAGGGCAACGGTGACTGTCGGTAAATTATAGACACCGTGATTTTACGCACAGTTACTATAGAAGTCAGTACAAAATTTTCGATTTTTAAAACGCACAATTTTGATCAAAATATCAAGTGTGATATATCACCAAAAAGGAGATTTTATGCACTCAAAGAATATATAAGAATTTTTGTCGTATGTTAATTAGGTTACGTGACAGAGCTTTTCAAAGTTAAAAATCGTGATTTTCCAATGGCTGTAGAACCGGAAGTTAACGATGCACAACAAAAGTGAGGATATCATCGGATATATCTCGTATGGGGCAACAACTTTTGTTCAGGTCACAAGGTCACCAAAGGTCAAAGTCACTAGATATGAGCCTTAATATTTTTGACAATTACTGAAAACATAAAACCGGAAATATAAAAAATACGAATCCAAAATTCAAAAATCGGCTTCCTACGTTTTGTTAGCAATCGATTGCAGATTCTTTAGACACCAAAATCACACAAATCAGATTTACCCCTGAAGCTTAATATCGATTTTTACAAAAATTGGTCACATCAAGATGGCGTCTAACACGTTACTTCCGGTTCAAATTTTTTCATTGTTATAGGGACAATTTTAACTAATTTCAAAAAGAATTTTTGCAAAACAAATAAATAGTGACACATACAAATAGACCTAATAAAATAAAATAATATAAAGGAACTTCTTTATTCATTTGTAGTTTAAAAACCTCAAATGTATCAATATCTCATCAATTTACAATTTGACCTTCAATTTTTCATGATACTATCAACATTATTGCCAATTTCAAACTTAATTGCATATGATCTAAATTCAATCAAAATTTTAATCATAATAACTGCACAAACTGTAAATCATTCCGTTTTTCTCTAAGGTTGCTCACATTTATGAAAACGATATGCCAAAATCTAGAGTAATGGAATCCTGATCTTAACCGAAGGATACAAAATCAAACCGTTAATTTTTAAATGCCAAAACAATTCAAACGATTTTTAAGTTTTGTTACGCTTTTTGGGAGTTTTATGAAAATTCCCCCCCAAAAAGGTTTTTTTTAACAAAAATACCTTAAATATCTTCAAGATATCATCAATATGGCTGTACATATTAAAGTTATTGTAAAGAGGTTTTTCTAAAAGAGATGTGTGTATAGGGACACTGATAGCTCCATTCCAATTTTCAATCAGATGTCTTTGTTTGATTAAAAATTAGAATGGTGCAAATTGATGCTATCAGTGTTCCCGATACACATAAAAATTTAGAAAACACTTTACAATCCCTTTAAGTTACAAGACAAATAGATAATAATAATATTGTGTTGACAATTCTATAAACTAACTATAAAACCTGCTAAACACAAATTATTGCCAACTTAAAACTTGATTGAGATCTGATTTACATTTACACAGCTGGTTCAATCAAAATTTTAATCATAATAACTACATATGAAATATAAATTATTATATTATTGATTTAGTACTAAAGAGGCATTCTCAGGAACTGTTTGTTAGATGAGGCTAAAATTTTGAATATCAGCTTTTTCGGCCCAAATAAGCATATAAACCAAATTTCAGCAAAATCAAAGGGGGTATGGTTTACCAAAATATTTCACAACAAACTCGGACCGCTTTTTGGTAAAAAGTTTTCATCATCAAAAATGTTCTAAATTATACCATTACCTGAAAACCTTTCTAAAGTATGCTAATCATAACTAGCGGTATGTATCTTCTTGATCAAACTTAATTTATTTAAATAGCATTAATTAAAAACAGAGAGTGCTAATTGTTAATTAAGTTGTTTGACTTAGTTTTGGTGTTTTGTTTTATAATGGTTCAATGATATTAGTTAAAAACTTTAGAACAGTTTGGTTAGAGTTTGAATAGTCATTGGTCCGAGTCTGTTATGACAAGTTGTCTGAGTCTGTTATGACAAGTTGTCTGAGCCTGTTATGACAAGTTGTCTGAGCCTGTTATGAAAAGATGTCTCTTGTATTTAATTATTCTTATCACCAAACATTATATTTCTAATGACCCAAACACATCTAAGACAAATGCCAAAAATAAAACTGTAGGCCTAGCTGGAGTTAGCCCTGTCGCCAGGAATGAATTGGTGCTCGGCCCACAGAACTTGTTTGTAACAATTTTGAGGTGCCAAATCTATCTTTTTGATTTTGTACAACTAAAAACTTTGTATTCTTTGAGACACTGTAAATGAATCCAACTGTGCTGAACTGAAGATGGTTTGCTTGGGCTTATTACTCACTTGCTGGGCCCCTACGAGGCTGCCTACTGTTGAAAGGCTCACTGAACGCAAATAATAACAGGTTTAGTCTAGCCTAGTACGATATATATAAAAAATTTGAATAACAAAATACTACACATAGCATAGGCCTACCTGTAAATGAATTTCTGGTTTCTAGAAATTGTATCCATGCTTTAAAAATGTATGCATGAACACTTTCACACTTTTTTCTCTACTTTTAATAAGGGACGAAAACTAAATAAAAACTTTTTTTTCTCTTTTAATTTGAAGCGGAAGTGGTTGATATTGGATATGTTGCTAAAAGACTTGAGATGATTCGTTTCATATTCTTCCAAATGTTACGAACCGACATTGTATAGGATATAATAATATATTCATTGGATATCTATGACAAAAACCAAATATGGTCAAAGGGAAACAACTCCATTTTAAAACTTCACTCGCTACCGGAAATTGAGATTAACACACATTTCCACATTTTTGTTGACAAACATCCACAAACTTGTATCGATCAAATATTCTTACATTGTTTTGTAATCATAGAAGAAAAAGATGTCGGAAGGTTTGCAGAAACGTTTGGAAACTGAAATTGAAAAATTTCAATCCTGTCAGAAAGATTTGCAGAAATACATCACAAGCCGGCAAAAATTGGAGGCACAGTTGAGTGAAAACACTTTGGTGAAAACCGAACTGGATCTCATAAAAGATGATGGTACTGTCTTTAAAATGATTGGACCAGTTTTAGTGAAACAAGAACTTGAAGAAGCCAAACAAAATGTCCAGAAGCGAATAGATTACATCAATGGTGAAATAAAGCGACATGAAGGACTGATCAAAGATGTAGAAAAGAAACAAGAAGCACATAAAGAATCTTTATCTAAACTCCAACATCAATATCAGCAAGCTCAGGTCAAGGCAGCAACCAAGGCATAATTTCTGGTTTTAAGCATCCATATTGTACCTCTTCTTCATTTTCATGTGATGAACACGTAATCTGAATTGTGGTCTCCAACTCTGGTCTCCAACTCTGTAAACAAGCATTTGTTTCTATTTCTAAGTGGAAGGAGATTGTCACTAAATATTTATTGCGATTTCTACACAACTTTGAAATAGGCACAAGTACCTGTTGGCCAAGATATGACACAACATGAAACAAAGGAACTAATATAATATAAGTGACCTACTAGATGGAGTGCTAGTTTTTGCTATTGATAGCTTACAAGATAAAATAATTTAATAGCTTTCATTTTCAGTAAGCTGTGATTGGCAAAATAATTGTTCTTTGGTATCATGTATGTTGGGTTTGAGATGATTGGTATTATGTGTGTTATTCAGATATCAATCTTTTCTTTTATGTATAAAGAAGTCATTATTACTTAAGCCAGAGTGTGTGGTATAAATTGTAGACTAGCCTTCTTTAAATATAGATTCATCTATTAGGTTGCAAGACTGTCAACAAGTCAGTCAGAAATTGTGCCAATTCAATGTTGTATATTGTGTACAAGTCCTATATTTGACACTGAACTTTATATTGAATTCTTCCACTTATGCATACTTTCTAATCATTCTATATGAAATTATATTATGAATGATTGGAAAAACTCATTTGTAAATTTTAGGTGTACTTTTGATGCCTGTCAAATTACCATTCTTGCATTGAGTCATAGACATCCAACAACTTTTAGGGGGACTCTTTGTATGCTTTATCAAATCATTACAACGTATGTATTTAAATATTTTAATGCAAAATTTAGAGCGTTTCGATGCTTGTCAAAATTTATCCAGATTTTGACTGTCAATCTATTGTGTGCCATGATATAATATTTTTCATTCTTATCATGTTACTTGCTTCTAATATTTTTCATTTTGTTAAAGATTGTTTGCTTTTCTAAAGAAAACATGAATTTCCAATTTTGTCTCTTTAATCTATATGGGAGTTATTGTTGCCAGTTGTTCCATCATTCCACAAGTAGGCAGATAATGTCTCGAAATTAGAAAAAAAGGCCTGTGTGCTAGACAAAAATATACTGATTCTAATTCCCTTACTAAATATTGCTTGGGGAATCAATTTTAGATCTAAAATGACATGCAATTAATTTCAATAACCACAGACAGTTATGATAATAATAATAATAAAAACTTTATTAGAAACCCAGTTGCACATGGCAATCTTCCCACGGATCTTTCTGCATAGAGTACATTAACATATTTACAAAATGATAACATAATAGAAATAGAAAATAGACTTACATGTATAATAATATTGAAGGGATGTATAAAAATTAAAGGTCACAATAATATAAGGCGCTTAAAGTGCATGTAAAAAAGATATGAAATAAAAGTAATCTTTACATATGAACATAAAAGATGAAAAGATATTGTAAAACTATTTGTAAAATAATTATAGTCTCTGTCATTATCGTAGTCCCATTTCAGTCTTGTTTTGAAACTTTCTACACTATTGGATTGTTTAGGGTAATGAATTCTAGACTAAACTGGCCTTGTTTTTAAATGTCAGTTTCATGACCTCATACAGCACTTTTTTTTTGTTACAGTACAACCTATAGGCTACACATAAAGACCATTTACAACACCTTTGATATTGCTGGCTTGTTTGCTTTAAAATGCCTATCTGGATTCTTTTAATGCATAATGATCTCATTTGACTATTACTAGATGAATAAATTTAGTCTATTAAACAGGTAAAGAAAATCTTAGCCATAATAGGCTACAGACAGAACGCACGCCTGGAGTAGGACAAACCACTCTTTTAAAAGTAAGTGTTGGGTATTATTTGATACACATACATTATCAATGATGTCATTTCTGATCTATTACATTCGGTGCAGATAATAGCTTTATTATTTAGCTGTAGTCTGATTTTACAGTTTTTACCTCCCTTTATACAGGTAAAATAATTGACGTCATTCAGGTAAATTCAAGATGGAGGGATCAGTCAGACTAAAATATTGTAAACAATTGTTTATTTGTTTGTTATGTACGAGTCTTGTTTATGGTAGGTTTAATTTAGATTTATGAATGATTAAATAAGATAAAATACCTCAGAAAGTGTGGAGGTGTCACACACCTGTCCTATGTGAGATTACTGATTTTATGACAGATTTTCAAGAGCAAAATTTTAAAATCAATTTAGTAGTCAATTAAATTGATGTGTATTTAAATATTTATATCAAATGTTACCTTATTTTACTGATTATTTTCATAAGAATTGGGATATTTACTTCAATATAGTAGGCTAGCTACTTTTAATATAAGAATGACTTGATCTAAATAATAGTATGAGCACCCATTATCACTTTGAAACAGGTAGTTTTTCATTTGAAATTTAGGACATTTTTAATCAAAATTTGAGAGAGAAGTGTGTTTCTCTTCAATGGAAATTTACAAAAATTCTATTTATTTATTAATGCAAAGTAGCCTAATTTTGAGACTCAATCAAATGGTCACATACCACTTTATTATACTATGCTAAGACTATTATATTTCTCTGCTAATAATCATTAATGTTTGATATTTTACTATTTTCAGGCGACCGATTTCTCCAAGATAGATATGATAACTGTGGATCCTATGAGAAACCACAAGAAGTGAGAATAACAGATGTTGATAAAGATTTTATTTATTCTCAGTCTAATAGTTACTACAGTCCAGAACGGAACTGTATTATGACTATTATTGGCAAGAAGAATCATCAGATAGAGCTACAGTTAACAACCCTGGATATTGATGGTCATGCATATAGATCAGATCATTGTGGTGGATTGTGTTGTAAAGACTATCTGAAATTATTTAACAGTGAGTTTAAACTTGGTAGCTTTTAAAGGGATTGTGGGGAGGTTTTTTAAAACTTTGCATCCTGTGGCAGCGCCAGCCTTCTAGAATTGGGGGTGCAAAGGGGATGGGGGGACAACCATCAGGGTTTAGATTCCAGATGTGTAAAAACCAAAAGGCGCAAGCCTAACGCAAGGGGTCTGTGGGGTTCTCTTGAGGAAAAATGTTTGAAAACTAGAATTGATTTGATACATTCTGACATATATTTGGGGCAAAATCGTATTCAAATCATATTTTTGAAATTTCTCAGAAATAAAGTGGGGGTGCCATTGGGGGTACAAACTGTTTTTCTAGGAGGGCAAATGCATCCACTGGCGCCGCCACTGTTTGCATCATTCCCATTCTATCAAAACTAAATGTTTGGTTGATATCACTAATGGCGAAGACCTAATGCAATTCAAGCATATTTTGCGATTAGCGACGTCAGCAAACACTTATTTTGAGTGGAATTGCAGGATCCACTTACTACATTTGTTTGACTGAAAATTGGAATGGTACTTGGATTTTCTCAATCGATCAGATATAATTCATCAATATTGAGCTATTTTGAAAATGAAAATATTTTGTTATTGTTTTGCAGGTTATAGAGTTGATAATGCCCGGTTAATACCAGGTATAGGACAGTGGGGATTGTGTGGTTCTGATTTACCACAACGAACCGTGTTTAAAACCACCAATAACTATGTCACCATACAATTCCGTGCTGACGAGTTGTCTGATTATAAACGTGGATTTGTTCTCCAGTTCCAACAGTATCCATGGAAAAATCCTGGAATCTATCCTGATGGTGGTTTTTATGGAGGTTGGTTGGGGCTTAAATTTTGTTAACTTAAACAAGAACATTTATTAATTGCGGAACACTCCCAAAGAAGTTCTAACTTAATTTTCTTGTTGATTGATGTAGCATTGACAACACATTTGGCTTATAGAGTGCCATATAACACCATAATATGACATCAACTTGCTAGTTTGAGTTCATTCAATACAAACTAAGTCTGTTCTGCTTTGAACATATTTCATGTTTTGAATCAGTTTTCAAAAAGATATTTGATTTGCTAAATCTCTAATGTTTCTGCAGGTTGGAATGATGGATCTAGAAATGAACTACAAGTAGATTGGAATGAACAGAGTCAACTTCCTGGTGATTTTCAACCGGATAAAAACCCAGATTATGAGAATACGGGTGGAAAACAGTGTTATGAGTGTACCGGGTGCAGTCTATATTCATTTTATCCAAGTAAAGAAAAAGATGTCTCCAAGCGATCTGGGTGTTATGTTTGTTCTAAATCTTGGAGAGATGGTGAGCCACATCTTTAAGGAAATAAAATTTATTGAATTAAAATTTACTTGTGTCTGGTATTCCACTTCACATGCTTCACAAGAAGTCTCAAAAGTTTTCAGAAATGATTGCAATCAAATATTAAGTTGACCATTTTCAGTAGAACCATGCCCCCTTGTTAATAAATAGATTCAAATCTCAAAAATCCTATATTATATGTTTAAAACATAGAACTAGGAAATGACATGCTTATAATACTTTGTTTAATTTCAGACTTTGCCTCAGCTCAAAGAATCTGTTATACAGAGACCCAGTATTTCAATCTATTGACAACACTTGTAGGTTAGTAACTTTTACAATTTTAGCTGTAGTTTTATTACATGTATTTTGTAGTATTGTGAAATTTTTTTCCCTATTCCCCTGTCCTCTAATAATGGAAAAATATGAGTATAAAAAAACCTTGTAAAGAAGGCAGAATTTTGATTGGATATGTTGCAAGTAAATTACAGAAATATAGTATGTAGTCTTGTTGTGAAGTGTAGACAAACCCACATGCAAAGTGATATCAGCTACAAGAATAAAGAAATATTGAGAAATAGGGGAAAATAAAGTTGAAAAAGGGCTAAGACTTGAAATTTTGTTATTGATGTATTTCAGATTCCAGTGTAGGAGATGGTAAAGTAAGGGAATATAGAGGGTGTAAGAAATTTCTAGATAGTTTAGGTAGAAGTTTAAATTTCTGTTTCTGTGATACAGATCTATGTAACAGTGGAAGAAGAGTTTATACCAACATATTTTTGTCAGTCTTCTGTCTCTTCTTTTTCTGGTTTCTAAAATATTAACATTCTGGTTTGTAAAACAGTAACATTCCATTTCACTCTTATATCCCATACACTTACTGGATTTAAATGCCAGATTTCTCTTAAATTTGAGTTTTGAAATTTTAGATTTTTATTACCTATTTGAGAATTGAAGTTTAAACATTTTTTCATGACAAATTCTTTCAAAATGTATATTTGCAAATTTTCTAAAGGCGAGAAAAAAACTATTTTGACATAATTTTGGAAAAAAAGCTAATTTGTTTTTTATTGCAATAAGTTTTAATGCACAATATAGATTTATAGAGAGAGTATTTGATTGTACATATATTTTTATACATTATATCAAAATGAGATGGATGAAAATAATTAATTATTGTTGTACTTTGTGCTTAATCTCATTCAAACTGTTATCAATTCCTTCAGTTTCGATATACTTGCAAGACAAAAGGAAAAAAAGTTGATTTTCTTACTATATTTAGCTAGTTATCTGGACCAACGTAATTAAATTCAGCACTGCCTGGCTGTGACAGAGATCTTGAAGCAGGAATAAGTGATGCACCATTCCATTCTGTAAATCTGGACATTCCACATCATGATATTCTATAACCATTTTGTAATTTTAATCATTCCAATTGTAAATAATTCATTATTTTTATTTCTTTTAATAAAACTTTAGAATTAAACATTATTTCATTTTCTTTCATTCCATAAAGTGTTGAAAGTCCTTTAAAGATGCTTTTGGGTGAAAAAGTACACCAAGAAAAGATACATTTTTGTATGTTTCTTGTCTAATTGAAATATTTGTAAGTTATTGCCCTTGAGCTTTCAACGGATCGACAGATTGATTGATGTTAATCAATTTCCGTCGTGGTTGTATCTTACTTTGGCTGGCGGGAAAGTGTGGCAAGCATTCCTATAATTGATATAGGGTACTGTTTCAGCTTTGATACAAGATTGGTATTGTTTTCACGTAGCATTGTATTTAAAGTTTAAAAGAACACATACCGGATATTTCTTGTTAATGATTTATTCATTCCAAACAAATAACATCGAAATAAATTAGTTCAGTTTAAGGTACAACTTTGGACTTTTCTTTCATTAAAACATTGAGTACTGTAGTGAGGCATAAAAATATTGACCCAGAGTTAAAATCAGAGGTTGTTTACTCGATTAGTCAGATTGCATAATGATAAGTAAATTACGATTAGAAAACTGTGATAAACTTTTGTTTACGGAAACATTCAATTACGAGAAGGTTACAAGATTTTCCATCCTTTTCCTATACATTCATGACTCTCTGTTTTATTATTGTAAGTGACACACTGGTGGGTCTGCGATCCTCTTAATTCCAACAGAAACCTATCCTTAAAGATTGTGAGAGCCGGATGACATGAATTTCTGCTGCTGTGAAAACCCCTTTTTTAATGCGATATCCCAGAAAACCCCTTTATAACCCATTAAATAAATAAATAATTCATAAATAAATAAATAATAAGGAAGCTTCTAAATTGATCTACAACTTTCCATTTTGGGTATTTTCAAGGGCCGCGAACAGATATTCCACCAATAAATGTTATCTGAGCACGACATTACGCGAAAATGTTGGAATAAACAAACACAGTCTATCCCTTAGACATATCCACTCGCGGCCCTCGTGAACAGAAGATGACATCTTTAGAGCTTGTGGGCGTTATAACATGATTAAGACTCAACCACCCCATACCGTGGCACCGAGGCAACACATTACTGTCTCAAAATGCATCAGTGGATAGAAGCAATGTCTATGATAGAACTCTTCAACCGTTAAAGCCATTCACTAAATGATTGGTCAATGCTTTCTCTCTGTCCAATCATCTGTAGTTTTTCAGTAATGAATCGGTTTGGTTTGTCTAACGGTGAATCTAATTGGTTGGCTGGTGAACATTCATTTAGTTGTTTCTCCAGCATCTGAAGACGCCTTAAAGCATCGCTGACGATACAGAGATCTCCCTTCAACTCGCTGACCACTGTAGCTATACATTGAGTATTGTCAAGAACATCCACACTATTAGTGTAAGGGTTGTATCTCACAGCAAATGGTCGTTTAATGGTACTGGCGAATTGTCTGAAAGGAAACGCAAACATTAAATACATACATCTATCAAATAACTGCATGTATAATGTACAAATTATATTAACTATGTGGACTCTCCTACACGGGTTCCGAGTTGATTAACCAAAACCAAATACACAGTTATGCCGAGTCGTCAATTCCAGTTGAGAGTAAGTCCCCGTATCTGCAAAGCGACCACATCACAGCAGATGTACATTGGGATTATGCCAGTCAACTGCAAGTGACTGATTTGGATTCATTACAGAATATCCGCTTCGATTTCCATAAAAGATATAACAAGCATGTGGCATTAATGCAATGGTTGATACTAAAAATAACCAACTTGGCTTACCTCATGCGTTCTTTGGCATCTTCAAAACTATCAGTATAGAAATAAACATCTTGAAACGTAGTTATTAAACATTCTTGTTGACTCGTTCTCATTGGTTCAAATCGTATCTTCTTAGCATTGTCTGTTAATGCATGCTGAAATAGAAATTCATGTCTGTCGTGATCACATGCTCGAACGTCTTGTTGCTGATTGTATCGAGTCACGCGTCCATAGTTTTGTTCAGTGGACTAAACGACGAGCAAGAACAGCATCTCAACGATCCTTTCCAAAAATATTGTAAATGTTATGAACGACAAGGAAAGATGGCGCCGGCAGCTTAAACAGTTAATACATTACACAACACATTCATGCAGTTTTGTTCGTTTGAGAATTCTGGTCCATTTGTTAAGTTTTAATCAGACATTCATACGAAAGTTTAAAATTGAGTATTGAGTTGGGAATTATTTACGTTTACAATGTTCTTTGCATTCTGGGACTTCTTACTTTGTAATAAATCTGTTTTGTGATATCTTAGATTACATACCTTGAGTTCTCCAATGGAAGACAGGAGACCAGCTCCATACGCTCTCAATTCACCATCTTGTTTGCATAAACCAAATTCTACCGTGAAAAAATAACACTGAAACGAAAATTGAACAGTACCTATACTATTAGTATTTGTACTTAAGGAACGTAAAGCCATGCTATGCTTTCACTGCCTACTTTACATAAGATTCCCATGAACCAACAATTTGTGTTAAAGATGAAAATCCATTCCATTTTCTTAATGAAGTATTTGTTCCAACCTGGGCCTGTACATTTGGGAGAATCAAACCTCCCCTTCCCGATGAAAATAATCACAAATTCTTAGCATTAGAATTGCCCTTGTCTTTAAGAAGTGTTAAAAAGCATGAGTATGCTGAAAGTTACACTTACAGTTGCTAGTTTTGACACTTCTTCATCAGAGGCGCCTAAAGATGCAAGACCAATTTCTTGGGAGAATTGGGCAAAACTGGCATCAGCTAGGAGTGGCATGTGTCCCATTAGTTCATGACAGCAATCTCTGTAAAAGAAGATTACAATTAGTTCTACACTACGTTAATGCTTACCATTAATCAAAATCGAATCTTACTTCAAGAGCGATAGCTTGTCATTATAGGTGCAGCGTCTGTATCAAGGAAACAAAAACAGCTTAAAGATGGGTTTCCTTATTTTTTAGTGTCAAATTAAGCAAACTATTTGATGAATTGGTGTTTCTAATGAATCGTCATGTATTCTTAATCATGTCAATATGTTCTTATTGCATATAATTAACAGTTTTAACCAATCATAAATATCCATGTATGTACAGTCTGAATAAACAAAAAAAAAACACTTTTTGACCTTTCTTGATCGGTCACTCATTGGAATTCTGCTGGTCATTCTCTTCTAATTTCGCTAATTATGAATTAATTATGGACATGTGCAACAAAGTGGTATTTTTCCAAGTCATTAGAACACCTCTCCTTTCTATTCATATAACTATCATCACTTTCATTTTCATAAATGAACCCATCTCTATGCGCGATTAATTGTTAAAATGCACGTGCATATCAAAGTTTTATCAAATCTGTATTATGTATGTATATCAGGCTATATCCAACCTGTTATTCAAGTTTCCTGTAAAAAAAAGAAGAAAAAAAAACAACTCACGGTTCTGGGGTATAAAAAGGATCTGAACCATGTCTGATATATTGTGTACAGTGAAATAATCTGAAAGCCAGGCCGGCGAGGAAATCCCTGGAAGACAAGTAGCCGGCTACAGGTCGTAACTGGAACCCAGTTCGTGCTGAAAGTAGAGAAGTGCAGTTCGTGAAAAACTCAGTAGTTCAAAACATAATGTCCTTCATGTAGACTTGGCAGACGCTTATAGACAGATGTGAACCAACGTAAAAACTAGATAAGAGAAGCCAGCCTCATTTCCGTTAAATTTGGACATTTTTATATTCAATATTTACCAAAACTGGCTTGGTGGGATATATTTTACTCTTTCGTCAAAACGATACACCCGGAATGTATAACAACAGCTTACAATTGTAGCAGCAAATGATCTCAGAAATTCATATGAGGAAGTATATTAATCACATATGAAGTAGTAAAAGTATATCATAATACAAAGTGTTAGGTGTAAAGAGAATAAACAGACGTTGATTGGCGCAACTGAAATTCTGAAATTCGGTATCATTGTCAGTGTGAGTTGGATTGATTGTAACGACAATGATATCAAAGATATATATCTAGTTTTATATAACACAACTGTCAATAATCAGAGACTAGAGATCTCGGAGAATATTTCATATAACTTCAGATTACAATCACAAACATGTTACATATTATACATCATTGTCAGATCGGTTCAAACAAAACCAACAAAATCAACCAATCAGAAAACATCTGTCAATTACATTAAATCAAGGATCAACCAATCAATAACTCGTTAACAGAAAGATAAATATTGAACCAATCGATGTTATTGTTACATGATGTTAAGGCCTGTTAAATTACACCAATATGTAACTGGCTTGATACGACTTTATAACCTATTCCCAAACATCAATAAACCTTAATTACTTGTGATATTGCATGCACCTCTTGAGCTCCTTATAGATACAATACTCCCACACACTCACATGGCAGCATAACTTTCTTTCGGTAAAAGTATAAACAAGCTTATTTTCCTTGCTGATGACCAAAAACTTTTCAAAATCAAAAAAATACTATAACATTCTATAACAATTTGAGTTATTACAGCCACACGTGTATAGAAACTTGTACAAAATGCAATTCTTATTACTCCCCCTTTAATAGTTTGAGTAGACAGGTGAACAAAATCAAATTAAAATTTTGACTATCGACATAGATATATTTAGGTGAAGTATAGTTACCTTTTAAAAAGTTGGAAACATCTTCAAGTTGTGGTACATTATCTTCTCTATAAATAGAAAATGATCTCATTGATTACTATTTTCGGTGCCAAGAATCAAAGGACAGTGGACTACTGCATGTTGCTGTTCCAGTTAAGTTCCGTTGTCAGGCGTACGGTCAATTGGACCAAAACTTGCTTATCTTTAGTAACGCAAGCTCGAAGCTTGTAACCACCGATAGATTCTGGTTTAAGGCCTCCATCTAACAATTACAGTTCAGATCCAAGAACCAGAATCGAAAATCATACAGAGAAGCACAGTCTGCAATTTCAAATCCATTCCTTGCGATTTTCACATCTATTTAGATGGATATGTGTTTTCAAAACGCCTATGAGTTTGCAATGCATGGGAATGCATGAAGGAAGTTATTTGGTAGCTGGTTGGTTTTTTGTTCCACCCACAATTAGCCCTGCGTTTAATAGCAAACATGATAACGCGTTCTGTAATTTCCTCCTATTTAAACGAAGAGTGTCATCAAAACGTTACTGAATGGAAGTCAAAACTTTATAACTATTCATAGGCCACGTTTCTGACACGTTGGTGAGTAGGAACACCTTGTATCGCTTTGGGTTTCAAATATTACTTTTAATTGATCTTAAACACTTGTTCAGAACCAATATAACATTTCATTCTTACCTGTAGCCACAATGTTCAACTAATAGTGGTATATTTCTAAGATATTCTCGACAAGCATGGGAAGGATATAGTGAATTTAACTCTCGGAAAACTCTTCCCCTGAAATTACAGTCAAATAACTTGATAATTTGCTCCAAAAGATCATATATATAAATGTATCCCTACAACCAACAATAAAGATGTCTGGCTAATAACCGTAAATGTTAACTTATCACATAACTTCAAAAGATTATTATATGGTGCAATATGGGGTACCAGCGGCGTCAAAGCGTCGCAACGAGGTTGAGGAGTTGGAAAGTAAGGGAACCAGCCATGCTACACCCTAGCTTTAATGCTGTTATTTAAAGAAATAATTGTAATGTTTTATGATCAGTGGCTCAACTACCATGGGAATGGTTGAAGTCCAAAAGTCCCCACCCTTAAGGGACCTCACCGGCAGATTAAATTGACTTGCAGAGGGGTTTGAGATAGCATATCTGTTTAAAAAAAATCTCGGGGGAAGGCCCATGCACTTAAGTGGGTACGGGCCCCTCCCCCGAGATTTTTTTTCATCTCGTTGAGCCACTGTATGTGTATGAATTGAATTACTCCCAATTTCGAATCAGCATTTCTGTGGGACTAGAATTGGTTAATATATCGTACATACCATGTTTTGATTTCTTCTCCAGAATATTCTATATGTGGAATCGGTTCTCCACTGAAAATAGAAACATGAATTCAAATGAAAACACATTAGGGTTTATTTGGAAAGAAACCAGAGGGTGTCCGCTACGATAATAGAAATAAGTTGTGATAGAAGTTGGAAGCCGACAACGGCCGATCTTGGAAACACAGTAGCCGTACCATCATTATACTTTCATTCGAAAAAGCGATACTGGTGGTTGAAATGATGACAAAGTACACGGTGACGGGGATGAAGATTGAATCATACTGCTATTCCGTTCGAACGTTACATTTCATTTTCATTAGCTCAAAGACGAACGGGAAGCTAAATATCACTTTGGTATCAGCTAACAACATAGGATGGAAAACCATATTTGTTTCAGTTTTGTTGTGACTATCTCTCTTCAATCACAATTTATACCAGTATACAGCCACAGTCTCCAAGCTATAACCTTCGGTGTTGCATCATCTTTGACTATATTAATTATTTATATGTTCATTCATCTGGAAGTAGCCATTTCCTTAAACCAAGGTGGCTAATCAGACTGAGATGAAAACAGGAAAGATATAGAGGGTGGAATTTCTATGAATATATGTTAGAGTAATTAGACAAACAATCTTTTTGTTTTTATGTCAACTGAGTGAATCGTCAATGTATTTAGGAAGCAGTTGGTAGACTATAGTACTCCCCGTGGAGAGGAAATGAAATTAACTGACCATTAAAACAGACTTAAAAAGCGAGTATTCCAATAACCCCTACATCCTAAAATCAACACACCATTTACCTCATATACTCAGAGGCGGATTAATCTATTGGCAAACTAAGCAGCTGCCTTTTCGGCCCATGGAAAATTCGGCCCATGACAAATTTTGTAACAGTAAAAATTATCAAACTGTTCATCCACAGGCTCATCGAAAATTGTGATGTGTGAGAATCGACTAAATTGTTTGAGCCTAATGATGATGAATGCCGATATCGTGCATACGATTGATGCTGATGAGCTGATTGATCTGATCGCAAACTTGCTGCCCCCTCCCTAAAATGGCCCTCTACAGGTCGTTTGCCTACGCCCAACAAGTCCAAAATTCCGCCACTGGATATACTAGACTATTTTCCCTTGGGATCGAGTCTATTAAAGAGCATGTCGACAGAGTAAGCTATCAAGTAAATTCAAGACTGAGAATTTAATGAGTAAAAATTAACATAGCGTAATGAAGTCTAGCTTATAAAGCCTACGTATGAATATTTATAGCGAATAGATACAATCTGTGTCTAAATCAATGATTATTAGAAAATGGCTGATTTCTTATCGATTCTTACTAGATGTTTTACAAATCTGTTTTACTCAAGAAAAAAATAGTTACTAGCACATACTCTTCGTAAAAAGAGAAAAATATAGTAATACAATATAACATGGTATAATGAAAATCATTTCAGGATCTGAGTAATCTAAATGCTGTTGATAGGAATCAAATATCATAACAGTTTTTACTGACAAAATTGAATGTCAAGTAAATTTAACAAAAGGAAGATTCTTTATTTTTACGCAAATAAGATGTTTGATGGAACCCAATATCGTAAAAATCATTTAAATGGCCAAGTTACAGATGAAAAGTAATTAGAAGATAGGAGAATTATATAGAAATCAGAATAATCCGGGGAATAATCAAGAAATTAAGTTGTAAATATGACAGAGAACATGACAGCTTGAGACGGTGAATATAAATTCTATGATGTAATAAATACCAAAATTTGAATTGCTAATATCAACAGTCAGATCTTCGTATTAACCATCTGATAAAATAATTCTCTTATTTATACCCCATTCAGCTCCTTAAACAGTCATTAAAGCTTCAATGCAGGGATTATGCAATGAAATGTCAAACCATTATTACCAGGATTATATTGTAATTTCGTCCACCATGATAGCGTAAATAAGCAAATTTGAATGTCAAATATGACGTTCATAGATCTTTTGTTTTTTGTTCAAAATTAACAAAATTCACGCCGAAGTCTCTTCCCATAATGTTCCGATTAACGTTCTTACTTATGTTTCGGATTTTTAAAAAAACCAATGAGTTTATTCAGCTTATTATTGCTATTACGTCAAATAAATTAAGTCTTTAATGCATGAAGGCAAATATAACTGCCGTAAGTAATAAAGGTAAGAAGACAATCAAGTAATAGACAAAACTTACTGCTTATATTGCATGGCTATCCTTGAAAAATAATTTCTTCTTGCTCTATAGATATCGTCTTTGAATCCCTGAAATAATGGGGATAATAACTGAACTATTACAGTTCCGGTGTCATGGTGAACGGAAGAGCGAAACTGTCCATTGACTGTAATTATGACCATTTCGCCCTTCCATAGAAAAGTATTATTACATTCTATTTTCCATGTGAGGACGTTCCTTATTATCAATTATTGAAATCTGTAAATCGCGGTTCTTACCGGATGATCTGCATCAAGTTCAGTACCATACATTAAAACACGGTGGGCTGAAAAATCCAAATCTTCTATGTTTCGTGGGAACCAAGGAACATTTGACATATCACCTACAAATAAATCTGAGACTGAAAATGTATGCTGGAAAATTTGTCTATTATGGCATCACAAGAAAAAGATCGTCATGTGACAATCCGTAAATCAGGATCCGTAAGCAAATAAAAATATGAATATAATTATAATATGGGATTAAAACAATAAAGTCTATAAAAATGAAATTCACGTGCAATGATATCGTTGTCCTATTTGGCCATTAATCTGAGTTAAAATGCACGCACATAGAAGATATTAAAATTTCCGTGAAACAATATCCCCTGTTTCCACCTGGAAATCAAAAACCACGTTGGTCAAAAGTGTAAGAGAACTTAAAGAGAGAAATTGGGGATAACTTACAAGGATCTTCAACATTAGGAGGTGGTGATAGGGGAACAGTGATATCATTAAATGTAATATTGGCAACCTCTTTCTTCAATCTGTTAATGAGCTCTTCTAGTCTAATATTATCAGTTTCTACATCTACATAAATATCATACTGGGCATCTTTCATTCGTGATTTCCTTGATTCAATATGTACTACATTTATATTGTTTTCCTGTAACAAAATATATATATATAATTATTGTGACTCGTGAAAAAAGGTGCAGAAAAGTTACTGGTGGTAACAAAATTCAAGCCAACCAACAACATCAATTCGCAACTATAAACGCTATATTACTAATATTAATATCATATAACAGACAGATATCATGGAATTGGAGAAAAGCAGGCGATGTCAAAAAGAAGTATAATGCAGAAGTTTTCTTAAATGACCGTTGGATTCGATGTGTGTTTTTTGCAGTTGTTTTTTCTGTATACCAACCACTGTACCTGTAGTTTAAGACTCAAAGATAACAATGCGTCTTATAGTATCGAAACGCTGAAGCCTCTATAGTGGACAGCGCTATTTAGATTGACTTTCGAGACCGTTCACAGTTTGGCAGAAACCTTGCTTGTGGGTTTACGACATTGATTAGCACCACAACAAAGTTACACACAGAAGGTTAAAGGTTTAAACCTAACCTGAAATATTTGTAGAGCACTGGCTAGATGACCAATCTGATTTCTCAATGAAAACACAATAGATGTTGTTTTACCAAAGCCAGACGGTGAACTTATACCATCAATATTCCTCAGACTATCCTGAAAATTATTGAAATGTTTCTGAATGCACGTGGTCTTAAGACTGTATTTTGTATATAACTTTTTATGCAAACAATATGCAAGATTAAAGAGTAAATCGAGAAATTTTGAGGGGTTTCATATGCATGCTTAGATCTTGGCCACATAAGATTGGTGAATTGATCTTGCGGAAATAATATTGAAAATATGTGGCATTTAGTTACAAACAGGACAGGGTGAGTATTTAAAAAGATTAAATTCTTACCTCTAGCGCCCTCATCTGACTTTCTGATGGGGGTATGATATTTTTACACTTTCGTTTCATAGCCACACTGCTCTTTCCTTGGGCGTCGTCTCTGATGGCAGCTACCCTCCTGTCCAGAGGAGGTGTGGTCATCCTTTTCTCGGCAGGTATGGCACATTCTTGACCCAAGCCCGAAGCACTTCGGATGGCCACTTTCCAGACTTCCACGCAGTTCCCCAGTTTGGCGGTTTAGTGTCTTCCAAAACGTAAAAATAAATAGACAGGAGATCTAGTGCACAGATCTGAAGTTTCGGTTGACTGCACTTTTAAAAGTCCGAAAGTTTAAAAAGCGGCTAAAAAATAAAATTGAAGTAAAACCTGAAAAGTTCAAGAAGTTTTCAAACTTAGAAAGTCACGATACTGTCTGTTCCGTGAAAGTAATGGCACAAATGAAAGTCCACGGATTCAATTTACAGGTCCAAACAGAAGGTATAAAACAAGTTACAGTTGTTAATGAAAAGGAAACACTTGAAGGACAATTGCGTATGGAATTGAGCATCTTTTATACAAGTTGCCATAGCGGGGGCGGAGTCAATTACATAGTTTGATTGGCATTTGATAAAACAAATATTGGTTCCAGTTTTAGAAAGCTGCTTGATCTTTTGATTGTTCGCATGAATAAATATCTCATTAGAAGTACAGAATATAAATTAGTGATAAACAGTTGCCATTGTATCAGAGCCTGTCGTATTGAATGAATGACGACGTCAGACATCACCTGATAAATTTCAACCAATCAAACCATTAGAATTAACATCGGCTAAATAGCGTTAATACCAAGGACTAAACTGGAAGTAGAAATACAAGTTGTTAATTAACGTGCTAATGAGACATGTTTTGTTGTCCAAAAGAAATATTGAAATGCGATGTATATATTAGCTAGGATTAATCAGATATGACTTAAGCTATATGTGTGTTGTGATTGTTCAACAGTTACATTTCCAATTTATGAGAATATAATTTGATAAAACAAAAAATTCGCCTAATTATCGCCCTTGATATATATTACGACTGACGACATCAACGGAGATGTCACCTGCCAATGTTCATTAGCTGTGACAAATGACAATATTGTAACTTATTAAATTCTCTCGCACATAGCCCCTCTTTTTGCTAGAACGTAAAGCTGCATTTCATTTCCAAGTAAGACTGGAATCATCAAAGTTTTCTATTCTCCCGATTTATTTCCACGTCATAAAATTATTCCAAGGAAAAGTTCACTTGTTTTGTCTCACGGATGATTAGTAAAACAGGAAAAGATAATATGCCCAGTAAGAGGAAAACATTTCTGTTAGTTACGGCTCTGATTCCATGCTCCGAAGATTATCGGAAATTGTTTATTTGATATTTTGATGTGTTCAATTTTCTGAGAATATTGGCAGATGATAATTTGTTATGTTTCTTCTTAATCAATTCTTCGAGAATATTCACATTTGAAATTTTGTGTAGGCTTAGGTATTCAATTCTCCGGGAATATTGGTGATATGATAGTTTGTTGTATTCAATTCTCGGGGAATATTGGTGATATGATAGTTTGTTGTTTTCAATTCTCCGGGAATATTGGTGATATGATAGTTTGTTGTATTCAATTCTCCGGGAATATTGGTGATATGATAGTTTGTTGTATTCAATTCTCGGGGAATATTGGTGATATGATAGTTTGTTATTTTCAATTCTCCGGGAATATTGGTGATATGATAGGTTGTTGTTTTCAATTCTCTGGGAATATTGGTGATATGATAGTTTGTTGTTTTCAATTCTCTGGGAATATTGGTGATATGAAAGTTTGTTGTTTTCAATTCTCTGGGAATATTGGTGATATGATAGTTTGTTGCTTTCAATTCTCTGGGAATATTGGTGATATGAAAGTTTGTTGTTTTCAATTCTCTGGGAATGTTGGTGATATTATAGTTTGTTGTTTTCAATTCTCTGGGAATCTTGGTGATATTATAGTTTGTTGTTTTCAATTCTCTGGGAATGTTGTTGATATGATAGTTTGTTGTTTTCAATTCTCTGGGAATATTGGTGATATTATAGTTTTTTGTTTTCAATTCTCCAGGAATATTGGTGATATGATAGTTTGTTGTTTTCAATTCTCTGGGAATATTGGTGATTTGAAAGATTGTTGTTTTCAATTCTCTGGGAATATTGGTCATATGAAAGTTTGTTGTTTTCAGTTCTCTGGGAATGTTGTTGATATGATAGTTTGTTGTTTTCAAATCTCCGAGAATATTGGTTGTTGATATATGTAGTTGACAATTCTCCGAGAGAATCACAGTTAATGATTCAATATTTTGTTGTATTCAAAGTTTCGAAAAATTTGGCAGATGCTAGTTTGATATTTTAGAGAATATTGGGATTTGTTGAAGACAAAAATACTATATCTGGAGAACAATTGTTCTGGAATAAAAACAATATAACATACTACACTTAGTACTGTTATGTAACGTTGAAATGTGGTATCATTTGTAAACCCTTACCCATTAAATGTTTCTAGAATCGGCTGATATTGTTGTAACATTCTACTGGAATGGAGGGAAATCATCAATATTCATAGAAAGCGGACTAGAGGAGATTGAAATAGTCATGAATTTCGACTTAAAACCAACAGACGTCAGAAATAAAAGAAAATATCACTCTAAATATAGACGTTGATACGTGAATTTTGACATGTGTCTGTTCAACATGGGTCATTTTTATTCTGATCTTCTCATTCCGAGCTTTTGTTCACAGATAATGCTTCTAGTGTATTTTAGTGTAAAAACGATTTAATCTGTCGATTTCACTAGGCCTAGGTTTATTAACCCTTCCTAAAGAATAGACACTTTTTTCATATCAGCCTCTGCGACAAACATTTCTCAAAGCGGATTTTGAGTTAAAACCCATATCGGGATGGAGATCCAGATCTTCAACCATCTCTCATTGCATCTACACCCATATTGATCCAGCTGACATGCTACTCGTTTGCTTTCTGTGTTTTCTTTCCAAGGAACTGTCATCAACAAATTTCAAACCCATTTTTGTTACTATGCAGGTCCGTTCGATATGAAAATATGGCAGTTTTAAGAAAAAAATTATTTGCTTTCTTTTGTATTTTTTTTTTTGTTTTTTTTTGTTTTTCTGTTTGGTTTTTTTTTTTGGTAAGCACAAATATATTTTGAGTCGTGGGTATGGCAATAATTCGTGGCCCATATGTCAGGCTACTCACGTTGCAGATCGTTACGCCCCTACTCTTTCATTGACCAGAAAGTTGCAAACAACTTCGAACTCATTGTATTGTACGTCGTTTCATGTTTGTTTTGCACAATCCAGAATATCTGAATCCTCAAGCCTTTAAACAAGGTAAGCACTATGGAGTACCAAAAAGAAAACGCAGGAAAAAAATAATAATAGGAATTCAGGGAAACCATTCTAGCATCTGAAAATCGGCTAATACGTCGTAGTCACTCAGAGTCATATAATAGCAATTTCGTCTGACGCATTAATATATTCCCACGCTTAATCCTTATCTTGATTGGTTAATAAGTCATCGATTAACTCTTGACCCTCAGATCAGATTTTGGCGCCATAAACCTCGTGGATTTTGTTGTAGACGACCATTGATGGGCTACGATACTGTTTAATACTGGGGCATTAATAAACGATTTGTCAATGGAATATCATAACTTCTACGGCTAACGCCATTTAGCAAGGTTTCTATACGCCAACATTTATTAGTCGTATATTGTCGTCACACCTGTCTGTTCATACAATTTGCTTGTGAACGAAATAGAAGCTACAGTGATAATACAATTTCAACGAAAACATGGTTTGCATATATCTAGAATGATCTTGCACGAGTTTGGTATTCGTGTGTTTGCACGAAGTATTGTTTGCGTATTTATACGGAAAGGTAATATTCATTAAATTCCTACAAATCGTGGAAAATAGCTAATATATTGGTTTTCATTCTAACGGCGGATACATCTAAAGTGTTAATTGATAGCCATTGCAGTTTTGTTCAACACGGGAAAGAACGTAGTGCGAATACAACAACGGATATGAAAGTATATATATATAATGTATGAATCATATTAACCAGTACACTTCGATAATTTGTACGACATACGGACAGTCAGTAATTTTCTCTGTCATTATGATTGTCTTTGCCAGTTAGCAGTTCGACCAGAGGCGAGACTGGACATAGCAACCAAATCCTTTACCAGGCTGCTCACAAAAAAGTCCATTGCATTTGTGAGCCCCACGTCCGTTTGTGGTTTTTTGTTGTGGTGGGTACCTAGAAGTCAAAAACAAACCGTTCCCATGAATTCAAAGCCAGTGGCGGAAAGATTTTGTCCTATATCATGATTATATTTTGCGATATTTGCAGCTATCGTGGTAATAACTGGCGATATGTAAAAATCTGATATTGCAGTTGCTCTACTATTCAGGTAAATAAGGCTTTTAGGGCATAGAGCATACTGAAACCGGTGGCGGAGCCCCCGCCCCCTTTACTGCATGTTTTTCGGGCAAAAATATCATAATAGGTTAGAAATTCGGGCAACTTCAGATATTTCGAAACTACGTATAGTTCTTAGATGGAAATAACACACAACCATTTTGAATCTCCATCTATTCGAATAAGTCGAATTTTTATATGCCCACACGTAAGTATGGGCGTATATTGTGGTTGCCCCTGTCGGTCCGTCGGTCCGTCCGTTCACATTTACCTCGTGCTAACTCTACAGGCTACAATTCTCTAGATTATTTTGATCTTTTGTATGTGTGTCAATATCATTATGAAGATGTGCACTATTGAATTTGGTGATGATCCGTTGACTTTCTTGAGAGATATCGCATAAAACTCTGATATCGTGTTTTTTTCACTTTTTCGGCTCGTGCTCATTGTTTTACAATTCACCTTTAGCAAGCTGCTGGTGGGTGTATTCGCTTGCGAGACTTGCCGCAAGCCTATGTTTACAAATGCTTTAATATTTCACAATCACATTTCAAAGGCTTGGAAATGGCTACAATTGTGATTTGAAGGCTTTGTTGGAACAATAGGCCTATGGCATTTTTAAAAATCTGACTTAAGTCTGGATAGAGATTCAAAATGGTTGTGACGTTCGTGTGTGTTATTTCTATGTATTGTAAGAACCATACGTAGTTTTGCATAATCTGTCTATTAAAAAATCAAAGCCAAAATTAATCATTCATTTTCACAACAATCGTAAGTAAACAGCATTGTAGTTTGTAACCAAATGTCATTCAATGATCACATAACATAATTATCAGGCCTGAAAGGAATAGCACTGAATTGAGAAAATGTCTAATTCAAGGGAGATAATCTTTTTTTTAAAAAATATAAAACATTAATTTAAGACTATTCACCTATCTGCGGTAATATTCTTCAGTTGTTTATGCTTATCGGTGGGCTATTTCTATTGAATGCAAATGAACCCCATAAGATTTACAATAAAATGTAAACAGACTAATGGTCAAATCTTCATTGGGTGGGCTAAGCTGCGTTTGTTAACCTATTTCTATGCATCGGCTTATCAACTTATATCAATAATAATAATAATAATAATAATAATAGTTTTTAATAAATGATAAAAAAATAAATAAATTCGAACAAATTGTATATGTTGTACAAATTCTTAGCACAAGTTACTTCCCTTGAAATGTAAAATTTGTTCAGTAATATCATTTTCACTTCTGTTGAACAGCATTTCCGACACTGTAGCGCCTATTTTGTATATTGCGGGTTTTGTTTTTTACGAACAATTTTGTGTATGTTGGCATCCACGTTGGACCTGTAGGCTATATTATAATTAGCGAAAATTTAAGTACGGACTGGTTTAATTAGGGGAGAAGCTTTTTTATTCTGATAATATACCACTTGCCGATCGCCAACATAATTGGTGATTCTGAAAAGCATCAGAAGAGGATTTTTAACGATAGCGTCTAAAAAATTTGCCTTATCTACTTTTTAGCCAGTTAAATTGTTGGTTCTGTTTCGTTATACTTGATAACTTGAAACATCATTAACATTTTCCCATTGTACACTGTTTGGCATGGACCGTCTTCATTATCCAAATTAGGCTACAACTAAAAATTTTGTCGGAATTTTACTCGAATCAGAAAAAAAATCCCGTGAATGAAGAACAGAAAGATCGATATATTATAGAAATTAACCCTTTATAGCTGGGAAATGAAGATTAATTAAAATCTAGCATGATCTGTCAGCTTCAACTATTGTTAGTTAATTTCCGAAGAAATTTTACAACGAAATAACATAATGTGATCGCAATACATTGTGCCTCTAGCGTTTCAACACGAATAATTCTAGTATCTTAGAAGCACAGAAGATATATGAATGTATTACTTTTGATTATTAGCCTACATACTACGTTTCGAAACACATACAGGTAACAGGTAAAGTAACACGATAACATTAAATATGTTTTAGAATATACAAATTTCGAGTCAGGTGTAATTTGACGCCAACTTTGAGTTTAGAGTATAGTAAAAGCAGAAATGGTTTCGTTTTCGTGAAAGAACTTTCATAATCAATTATTGTACCTACAGTCAGATGACAAAAAAGGGTTTGGTCAGAGTTATGGGATGAGGCAAGGCCCATGCGTAATGGAGGAAAATGAAGTAAATGGCTCAATTTAAAACAACGATCAAACTTTAAGTCCATTATGACACGACCCCCAGTTGTATCGTTTTTAGTATGATCGAAGAAATGGCGTTTATAATGGCACTATTTTGATTTCAATATTATCTTTAATAAGTTACAGGTGGACCAAGTAAACCTACAAGCGGTTCATTTTTATTGATTTGTACACAACAAGGATGCAAGGTTTCCAGTTTGAAATTTATTTCAAGTATATAGTTAAATGTACATACCATTCTAGTGCAATAAAAGACAGTTTCTTAATTTGTTGGAAAGCTACCTTTAAGAAAGTTCCATCTCAAGTCAAACAAAGCAGAACAAGTAATCGATGGATTATTGCCATATACAAGTCTTTGATTGTCGTTAGAGGACAATTGTAAAGGCCGTCAAGACTGACTTATGATTGTCGTGCTATGTCACGATTTTACACAATACACATTTATCATATTTCTACATTCGAAACTTTCTGAACATTGTTTTTAAGGGATACAATCTTCGAAGAGTGGTCTCGGAGGATGATTAATGAACGGTCACTGAGCGATGAACAACCCTGGTTTGTCTCTCAAGTCTAGTTTGTGTCTATCAATTCTAATAAACAGTCCTGGTTTGTCTCTCAAGTCCAGTGAACAATCCTGGCTTGTCTTTCAAGTCCAGTGAACAACCTTGGTTTGTCTCTCTGATTTGTCTCTCAAGTCTAGTAAACAATCCAGGTTTGTCGTTCAAGAGTAGTAAACAATCCTGGCCCCGTATTCTCGATACAATCTTAGCTCTAGGATGTCCTAGAATCAATGTTAGAAGATAAGAACTTAGGACATCCTAGCGCTAAGATGGTTTCGAGAATACGGGGCCTGGTTTGTCTGTCAAGTCCAGTGAACAACCTTGGTTTGTCTCTCTAGTCTAGTGAACAATCCTGGCTTGTCGCTTAAGACTAGTAAACAGTCCACGTTTGTCTCTAAGTCCAGTGAAAAACCTTGTTTTGTCTCTTAAATCTTATGAACAACCCTGGTCTGTCTATTGAATCTAGTGAACAACCATGGTTTGTCTCTCAAGTTAAGTGAACAACCTTGGTTTGTCACTCAAGTTTAGTGCACAATCCTGAACAATTAAGGGATACAATCTTCGAAGAGTGGTCTCGGAGGATGATTAATGAACGGACAATGGGCGTTGAACAGCCCTGGTTTGTCTCTCCAGTCTAGAGTCTATCAATTCTATTAAACAATCCTGGTTTGCATGTCAAGTCCAGTGAACAACCTTGGTTTGTCTCTCAAGTCTAGTGAACAATCCTGATTTGTCTCTCAAATCCAGTGAACAATCCTGGTCTGTCTATCAAATCTAGTGAACCACCATGGTTTGTCTCTCAAGTTAAGTGAACAACCTTGGTTTTTCTCAAATCTAGTTAACAACCCTGGTCTAGTGAACAACCCTGATTTGTCTCTCAAGTCTAATGAACAACCCTGGTTTGTTTCTCAAGTCTAGTGAACCAACCTGATTTTTCAAGTATGTTAAAACTCCAACAGGCAGAAAAGGTTGCATACCCAAATTTAATGATATGGTATTATTACCAAAATAATTACCAAAGTTGTAGTTCACTTGCAATCAAATAAAACATACTGAGGAATAGTCAGTTTCGATTGGAATATAACCTCTAATTAAACTGAAAAATAAATAAACACGATTATTGATTATTAAACTAATTCTGAAGTTGAACATAATCGATACCAGCTTTAATCAAAATCACCCTCCCTTCTTTTTCTTGATAAGCCCAGTATCAGCATTTATGCCATGGAGAAACATTGATGATAGGAGTGTGGTTGATATATTAGTGTAATGTGAATTTTGATTTACAGTGTTTTATTTACAAGGAATATCGTTTTGAGCAGGTAAACTTTAAAAAAATACAGAAAAATCTGTAGTCAAAGGTTAATGTCGAAACCTAGAA